AATATAGAGCTAATGTGGTATCAGGTTCCACGCTGTGCACCTCCAGTCTCTGGGATAATTACAGCGTAATGATGCTAATCAAGAGTCAAACAGGAGAACCATTCAGGCTTAATGTGCTGTAATCCTGCTTAAAGCCTCCACATATCCTTCTTTATGATCTGAAGTGGGCCCCGGTGGGCCATTAGAGAGCAGCGAGGACGACCACGGTCCCGTCCCAGGAGAGAGAGGGGGGGGTGAACTCTGACCATGGAACAAGATGAAGTCACAGAGGTAATGTACTGTAGCTCGGAGGTGTAAGGGCTGGGAAACAGTTTGGTTTTATATATTTGGGATCATTGCAGACTTCCTTTGACTTTAAATTGTTCAGTATGTCAGAGGAGATAAGTGCTTATTGCTAGAAAAACATCATAAAATATCTGTAAAACAAAAAAAGGATTAACTTCGTCCTTGTATGATTGAAGCAGGTGTGTGAAGTTTATAGTGAATGCTCTGATCTCTGTAACCATTACAGCATCACCTTTACTTGTGCAACTGACCTTATTATTAACACAAGCGGAATACACACTGATGTTGACAGAAACAGGAATATACAATAACTATGCTGGGGAAAGCTCTGCCAAAAAACAACGATTTTTGAAAAATATTTCTTGAGATTCTTGGATTTTAACTGAACAAAAAACACACATACTCTTTTTGATGTGGGTTGCATTGTGGGTCAGCACTATTTACCAAAATGCAGGCTACGGTTTTTAGGTGTTCATTTTGTTGTATTTGACATGTACCTGTAGAACATTTTAAAATACAGTATACTCAGTTAATATACTTAATGCAGGACTGTCACATTTAGAGCTGTAGTGGTTGTCAGTTGATCCGAAGCCAGCCATGCAACATCATATTTTTTTGCAACAATCTTGATGATTAGTTAGTCAGCCATTGTCCAGGATAAAGACCACGAAATGTGAGAGTAATTTGAACAGAGTTGTGTTTCGGACTGGTTGAAGGAGTATGACACCATTTTCTGACATTTTAAAGATAAACAGTTATTGAATAAGAAAATGATCTGCAAATGAACCAATGAGGAAAATAATACAGTGGTATTGTCATTAGTCTCCAGGGTATGGCTTGAAGCTTGTGAGTCCAAATTGATCCTGTTGTTATAACAAAGATCAAACCACACCCTCTCTGAGCTGATAGTTTGATGTGCTGATGTCTGATCAAACAATAAATCCCTGTCAATCAACAGTGATTGACTCCACAGTTTCTCTTCAGAAATAAACAGCCATGGAGAACAGAGTATGATACAGAGACAAAGAACAGGGAGGATAACAATTGAACATGATTGCGTCAAGGGGAACGTCATTATCGTCACTAGATGAACACCTGTGTGTCTCTGCTGATGGTGAGACGTCAAAAAACGGTGCGTTCGAGTACAGCTGGAAAATAGTATTCTCCACGAGTGACAACCAGTTGCAACACTCACGCGATTTGATATTCACACACACAATATCCTTATAATTATTTTTAAGTATTTCTGTTTTTTATTAATCTTATTCACTTAAAATATCACTATTTGGATGTCCTTTACGCCAATATCTCATGTTTAGACGTTCATATTTTGACTGGTATACCTGTGCTTAAAAAAAAGAAAACGCCATGGCTCCTGACCCACACACACCTTGCTGAGGCCCTCCAGCAGCTCGGTGTGTTTCAGAAACTCCCACAGAGCCCTGTAGCCGCTCCTGGATCAGGTTATACTGAGAGGCGTTTACAGCTGTTTCCTCTCCTAATACAGGACGACACGCTGAGAGCTGCAGCACAACAGCAGAGACACAACGCTGCCTGCACGGCCTTTAAACATAGACTTGATGACAATTAACACTGACATAAATAACGACTTTATTAGAATGAAATTGTATTATTTCCAAAAATCCTAAACGCATCTGAATGGGACTGAAATGAACGATATGAAGCTGATTTTACGACCTTCGTCCTCTCGGGGTTGTTTCATTTCTATGGAGATGTATTTATTGTTGTTCTATGTCTATGATGACCTTGAGGGCTATGTTATTTTTTTTGTCCCTTGTATAATTTGCTTTCATATATTTGTAATAGCCCTTACATATTTTTTTTAATGTTAAAATATTATATAACCTCTTTTTCGTTAGGATTTTTATTTTACATATCAGAAAACAATTATCGAATAAAAAAATGCTTCTTAAATAGGAACATCTTTAAAGATGTATTTATTATGTCAAGTATCTGTGCTTTTGTGTTGTACTAAACGTTGTTTTACTAATCGAAAATAAAATAAATACAGTAAAACAATTCTTCCCTCGTTTCAAATCAAATGTTTTTATTTGTATTTGTCGAAAACACACCTAATTCGCATCGACAAAAGCAATTAATTTAAAGATATTTACATGGAGAGATGATCGGTAACGCCATACAGCACTGTAACAGTTTACATGTTGTGGATTATTGCTGCAGTTGTTGGCATTACCTTCTCCGGTTATACGGAGGCCGAACCGGATACTTTCCCTGATATTCGCCGCATGCGGAGCGCGGTGAAATAATGTGGTGATTAATGACAGAAAGGCTGACCTTTACCGAGGAGGAGTTTCCCTCTGCTTTGATTTTATCGAGCTAAAGAATGACACGAACACTGCACATTCACCCCTCCTGGTTATTAATAGGACCAGTGATTTACATATGTAAGAAAGGCCGATATGTTGGTGCAGTTTGATACATTTGCTCATCACAAAAGAGAATATTATTCCGGTAAAGTGGCTCCATGTGCGCACTACCTTTTGGAGCTCGGTGATAGGAGGTAAAAGCGAAGCGAATCATCCAATTAAATCCCTCAAGAGCTGGTGATTGATGATGTCAGCTGCCCTGCTTCTAATTAACGTTTAAATTAAGCAACACAAAAAAAGTTCCTGACCATAGCTGCTTCAATTCAGGCCTGAAAGCTCATTGGATCGTTTGGAGAGGTCTTGGGGTTATTCACATTTAAACTTAATTTGAGGTTAATAATCGACAGCAGCGTGGGTGCAGATGGTCCTCAGTGCCCGGCTCATTTTTATGTAAAGGACATGACATTTGTAGAATTAAAGGTAAAATATAATCAGTAGGTTTTGTAATTTATTATAATAAGACATGCCTCAGTGTGGGTGATAGAGGCCTGCAGGGATAATGTACAATTGAAAAAATCCGGGAGAACTATTATTTTAACCTCTATTAGATCAAACACTGCATGCAGTCAAAAGAAAGACATATTTTGTATATTAAATCATCCCAGCAGTAAAACAAAAGTCATGTATTTTACATAATGACTGTCTTTTTGCAGTAAATATGCACAAGGTGTATTGTAGGATTTTATTTTTTTATTTAGCCTTTATTTATACAGGTGTAAAATCTCATTGAGACACAAGTTCTCATTTTCAAGAGAGACCTGTTCAGTAGTAACACACAAAGTTACAAAACACAGAGGCAACACTCAAATACAACATCGTAAAAAAAGTAGTTATAGTAGGATAATTGCAGTTTGCAGCGTTATCCCTTTAATATTTAAACTCATTTTGAATTCACGTGTCAAGTAAAACCCCCATCTTCCGGATATTAATATCTATTCCAACTGTTATCAAAACGGTGCTCGTTTCCGTCCAAAATTCACACATTTAATGTATCCCCCCAAAATCCTGCTCGTTATGGAGAAATATATATTCAAAGCATCCACAAAGGAGGGACCTCCGAGGTAGCTAATAGAATTTCCTGCTGTTTTATAACTCTGTCCCAACACCAATGTCACCATATGCTCCTGTTGGCACAAGCCTCTCCACAGTGGCTTCCTGGGCGGCAAGGCTTCATCCAAATGGATCAGAATAATGTGATTTAAGAAAACATTCCCCAGTTTTACATCAGAAATTGGCACGTGCATTATAAAACACCTGCTAAAATATGAGTTGAATTTAGAAGCTTTATTTTCTGATGTTTTTTTATTTTTCATTTCGAGAAGACATTTGTTTCATTTGCGTTGTTCTAATCACTGCACATTGGATATTTCGTTCTGCATGCCAGTTCTATGCAATCTCTAAAATGCATTATAACGAATAAAGTGGCGACAACACCTAAATGTGTTCAATTTGACGAGCCTGAAATAAAAAAAGGTGTGTTTCCTCTGAGCAGACGTACCTGCTGCTCTCGGCGTCCAGCTCGTCCCCGTTTAGTCTCTTATCCGTTTCTCTCTGTACATCCTAACCCCCCCCCCCCCATCAGTAGCTTACATACATGTCCCGTCCTCAGACTCGGCGTCACCTTTGTTATCCGCTTGTTTCACGCTACGCAATAAATTACACTGTAACTCTGGGTCATATTGACCAAAAACTGACACACCGAGGAGAACAAAACACAATATGAAAAAAAAAGCATGGACAAAAACTGGATAAAAAAATTCAGCTATGAAATGTTGTGATTATTTTGTTATTTTTATTTTGTGGGTCTTTTAATCTAAAGTATGATGTGAGTTAAAGAGATAAGACCTTTCCAATATCTCCAGGTAAATTACATTGAAAATAAATACCATAAATTCAAAAAATATATTTGTAGTCTCAGGCTACATATCTGCTGCCATAAATACATTACAAAAATGCTACACAGATATATCCGTAAATGTGCTCATTGCTGCTATTTTAGGACAAATTCCAATGCAATAAAGCTCCCTCGTGCGCAAAGTACGCCAAACGCTCTATGCGTAATTACGCACAAAAACGACAAAATGAAAATGGCTTCAGATAATGTTTTGGCTGGGTGTTCCTCCAAACGTTTCCATAATGCAGAGATGCTGGTGGCATTATTGTAATAGCCGTCAACTCTCCCTTTCTTACAGAACACACCAGCAGAGGGAAACAGATGCATAAACATTCAGGACATCTTCCTCCTCGGCAGCAGCTGACTCCTCCTCTCCCCCACGTCCAATTAGTTATTACGGTCCGGCCCTTTAAGACGCAGCAGCGGGTCAGCAAGTAGTGTAGTGTTTCTCTAATTGAACTTCGCCCAATCAACAATAACTCGTTAGCAGGCGCTTTCTTTTTCGTGCAGCCTGAGACAGCTTTTTTACCCTTGCAGGGATTCACCCCCTCCAGTCTGTTACTTCCTAAAGATCTACATGGAGCTTGGCAGAGGAACTGCGACTCTCTGAGGGGGAATACAGTCCGGCTGCCTTTACAACAACACCCGAAGCATGGTGATTCTGGAGGAAAGCTCTCAGGCGAGCTAAGTTGCGGTTTTAAAGTGTGAAAACATACAGGGGGGTCTACATCGAGCAGCAGAGGACTTGTGGACGCGTAAAACTGCCATTTGAATGATATAATAAAGTGTTGTGGAAGTAGCGATTCTTCGGGACTGCGATGACCTCCAGTAAAGACATGAAGGCAGGTTCTGTGTTGCAGTCCAGCGGGGAGGAGAGGAGACGGGCTCCCCTGGATCAGCTGCCGCCGCCGGCGAACTCCAACAAGCCTTTAACGCCGTTCAGCATCGAGGATATTCTGAACAAACCCTCGGTAAAGAAGTCTGTCGCGAGTATCTGTCCGCCCAGAGTGCTGGAGAAAGTGACGGGCTCCAACTCTGCGAGGAACGGGATCACCACTCCCTCCTCGCCGTTGTGCGCGCTGGAGGAGCTCGCTAGCAAAACGTTTAAGGGTCTGGAAGTCAGCGTTATCCAGGCAGCAGAAGGTAAACACTTTTTCTTAATTTAAAAGGTTCATTTTTAAGATTTAAAACTGTTTTTAAAGAGACCATAATCACAGCTGCCAGGGCTAGGGCTAGCTGGGTTTGTTTTGGTTTTAAATGTGGACATGGTAAAACAGCTGTAAAGGAATGCGTAAAAGTGTATGAAAATAAATGAAAACAGCCCTATGTATACATTTAAATGGGCTAAAACTGGCTTATATACACAGAGTGTTGTCAAAAGCTAATTCAGACATTATGGCCTACTCCTTACAATGCTATGTTGGATGAAAGCAAGAATAAACATAAATAACACACTATGTAAATGAATATGACACAGTAAAACTCTACAAGTTCTAAAATGGTTACAACCTTTTTAACTAAATGTGCAATATGGATGATTTAATTCACTTATTTTCAGTATTATTTTTGGTTTTTGTCATATTCCTAAATCATGTAATATTCTAACATGACTTTTCAGTTGTGTTTTTCATTATGCCTTCCTATATTGGAAATTACATTATTTTGACGTTTACTCAAATCGTTCATTTATAAATGTTATGTTTGTTTTTGACTAGTAGCTTGTGCTTTAAAATAATCCACCAGGACAAGCAACGTTCTTAGATGTTGTCTTTTGAAATCAAGTCAAATAAATACAATATGTTGCTTTACGGAAAAAACACAAAGCCCAGCATGTAATCTAAAGGCAGGCCTGCAGCAGTGCTCTCTGTTTCAGCTGTAGTTTTTGTGGGGAAAGTATTTTTGACCCTACGGCTGTTTCATTCCTCTTCTATGTTTTCCTTCTCTCCAAGGTCGCGAACACGTGAACGCTTTCGGCCAGAGACAGACGTCGAAAAAGAGGAGAAAGTCGCGGACAGCCTTCACGAACCACCAGATTTACGAGCTGGAGAAGAGGTTTCTGTACCAGAAGTACCTCTCCCCGGCTGACCGAGACCAGATCGCGCAGCAGCTGGGGCTCTCCAACGCGCAGGTCATCACCTGGTTCCAGAACCGCAGGGCCAAGCTCAAGCGGGACCTGGAGGAGATGAAAGCGGACGTGGAGTCGCTAAAGAAGATCAACCCGCAGACCCTGGATAAGCTGGTCACCATGGACAGCATTGAGGAGGGCGAGGGTCCCGACGCCCGGTCCCCCAGTATCTCCCCCACCTCCACAGGACTCCGGGCCTTCCCACAGTCCCCCTCCTCCTCCAGAGACCAAACTACGGATGAGTTCTCGGAGGACGACGAGGAAATCGAGGTGGACGATTGACAGTCAGAGGAGATTTTCATAAGCAGCAACAAAAAAGAATACTAAAAAAAAGGGGGCATTTTTTTTCTTCCCAAACTTTTGCACGGATATTAACAAAAAAGGAGAATATATACACAAGACATTTCTGGATTTTTCTCTCCTCTTTTCTTTTTTCTCCATTTTAATTTATTAATCGGACTTGTAAAGCTTTCCAAGTCTGTCGTTTAAGTTTCACAATATTTGAGGAATATTTTTCCTTTCAGACTGTACAGATGGTACAGTAAGAAAATTGTGCAAACATTTTAATTGTTCATGTTTTTAAAAGTTGTGCAATTATTTTGTGTCATTTATCTGTTAAGGAATTGGATGTGCCAAATATTTAAATCACCATTTGTTTGGATTTGTTTTACGCACAGCAGAGGTCGGTGTGTCAGTCCATCCCTCCTCATGTGTACAAGTATGATTTCTTCTGAGCGAAATGTGTCTCTGCAGCATGCAGGCCTGCAGCGCATCATAACGACTGCAAACTTTTCCAAGCTCTGAGTTGTGTAAATAGATCAGACATCCTCTGCGATAATTTTATTGTAACGTTCTATTTAATCAGCATCTATGTAAATAAAGGTTATATGATATTTGAAGAAGCTCTCGGCGCTATTGGATGTGTGATTGTGCAAACAAATATAGGCTACGATACAATACCGATACTAAATCCTAAAACTAAAAAGGAAGACACATTGGGATGTCTCACGGCAGGATTATTATTATAACACCATAATATATTTGATCAAAAATGATATTTACGATATTAGCTAAAAATGTGGTGAACGTTATATGTACAGTAAAGCTCAATCCCTTAAGGAGTTAATAATAATATGTTAAGATGACTTGTGATGAAAAAGGCAATCTATAGGAATGCAATGAGATAAAGCTAATTTCCGATTTTATAACAAAATAATAGAATAGGGGATTTGTCCTGAGAAATAAAACCAAAACATAGAATAATATTATGAATGTTAAAATGCCCTGTGATGACTACAATCTATAGGAATGCAATGAGATAAATCCACGTTGATTTACTATTTTTACAAGAATATAATAACATAGGGGATTTGTCCTGAGACACAAAGCCAATACATATTATATTAACCCCCCCCCCCCCCCCCATAGAAAAGTGCCCTGCTTGGTTAAAAGTTTCCCTTTTGAATAATTGACCCCTGCTTTCAGCCCTGAAGTACCACGACTTCAATTAGCTGCCATCCATCGCCTTCATTCCCATTCTTTTGACCTGCCTTTGAATGCATCTTGTCACAAGACGGTCCGGGTCTGGCCGCCGTGTTGAGAAAAGCTTCAGCCATATGCTTTCTCTTCGTCTTTAACACAACTAGTGGACATGATTGATTAGGTTAACCCGCCTTTGCCTTACATAAAACAGCTTCCACAGAGCCAATAATGGCTGCACGCATCTGCCACTCCGGACTCGGGTTTGTTTGGAAAGAGAGGAGGAAAAAAAAGTCTCCCATGAATAGCAAATGGTGTAGTGTGAGGATCCTAATGAATAACGCTCAATGGGAGGCAGTGAAACGCGGCGTGCTGCTGCTGCTGCTGGCGCACCATATGCAACAGTGTTGAGGTGTGTGTGTGTGTGTGTGTGTGTGTGTGTGTGTGTGTGTGTGTGTGTGTGTGTGTGTGTGTGTGTGTGTGTGTGTGTTTGTTTGTGTGCGTGTGTGTGTGTGGTATGTGGTGTTATCGTACCTTTTTATTGATAACATTATTTTTATTCCAAAACAAATATTATTTTAGTTGTGTTCAACATTAGATCATTTGTTTTAAAAGTGCATTTGGCTCGTATGTTGTTTTTGTTTTTTTAATCGTCATTATACCATCTGAGTTAATTGTTAACATTATATTAGTTGTATTCCACTCATATAGAACAACACATGCAGATTTTTTTTAATAGCCCATGATGGAAAGGAGCAAGGAGAAAACAAATGTTATTTTACCTGTCCTTTCGTTTTGGATTCTTATAGACTTCTTCATTCTTAATTTATCATTTGGGAGATTATTTGGATATTTTAGAGGAAAACATATATATTTTTAAATGTTCTAGGCGTTGACATTTATTTTAATTTGTTCTAAGCTTTTTGAAACAACAATATTTACTAGCTAACAGTTACCTTACAATTCTGTTCTGGATTATCCCCCCCAAAAAGCATTGTGAAGCGGGTCCAAAATGAGAGGAAGATATCAAGGCAGATTTGGGGACTAAAGGAAACTAAAGGGCTTGTTAGGACAGATTGTGTTGGGTGGGCAGAGAAACAGCAGGCTGCCACACAATGGAAGTAATCGTGTGGAATCGTGGAGGTTGAAAAGTCAAGCAGGCCTTTTATCATGGAGCCTCTGCTCTGGCAGCAGGAACAACACAGAGGATGGAGCTTTGAGTAAAAGTCACAAAACAAATGTCCTGATCCAAAAATATTCACCAAAATAACGTCACTATTTGGGATCTATTGATTTTAGCAGAAGGTAATTGTGTTGTCTAAGTAATCATTTGTGTTACTTATCTCAGTGGCATTCCTATACTGAGGTAATAGTGTATCCTTGTATTATCATGGTATATTTTTATATTGATTTACTCTATTAATAACACTATTTTTGATAGGTGAATTCATATTTTTGTAACTGAATGATAACCGTAGTAATTTGAAAATACGACTATTATTATAATTTGTTCTACATTGAATAGCTCTATCAATACCATTGTAATTGAGGCATTCTGAGGTGAATTATTACATTTGAAACTAAAGAATATATAACAACCTTAGTAAGTGTGATTTTTTAAAAGCTAATATTATTTTTCCTTTATTTTCTTAATTGAATTTCCTTATCAATAATTCTTTTTGATGGCCTTACATTTTCAATTGAAGGATACATAACAACCTTAGTCTGTGTGCTGATAAAATGCAGTTGTCTGCTATTATTATTTTCCTTTTTCAGATGTAGTGACTATTTGTGATGCATTACATCTGAGCTGCATTAAACACACAGGTGATCAATGGCTCTCCTGTTTGTTGCAGGTGTATTATGATCTTAACAATTAAAGCCTAAGGGTGCCAAAAAAAGACAAGCAGCAATCTAACGGAGCGGTCCACCAGGAGCACCTGAGGGGTCACAGCTTTAGGGGATTATTGTTTTTTCAGCATACAGTGCGCTGAAGGGACTTGTTCGGCTTTAAAAGGGTGGCTGGGGGGAAATCATAATATATGTATATGTGTGTGTGTGTGTGTGTGTGTGTGTGTGTGTGTGTGTGTGTGTGTGTGTGTGTGTGTGTGTATGTGTGTAGGTTTACAGGGAGTTAATTGTATTCGTCATTTGAAAACATGGCCACAGGGGCCCGATTTGGAACGGCAAAAGGTTCAAATTAACTTCAAGATGTTATTAAGGTTATTGGAAAAAGAAAATATATGAAATCCTCTTTTAAAGACTCAAACCGCTTCTGGGCAATACGACTTAACATTTCAAATACTGTCCCATGATCCTTTAGGACATTTCACCTTCTGTTTTGACAACATCCCTCAAGTCTTTAATCCACACCTGCTTTATTCCGTGTTATTGACCTCTGCGGTGAAAGCTGTCCTGCCCTTGATGGTCTCTTTTCAAATGAAATCTTAACTCCATTTCAGGCCTTTAACCTTTCGGACACAAACACCAAGCACTGTTGTTTTCCTGTGATACACACAGACTCACAAGCCAACACAATGCTACCCCATGTCCAAAATTCAGAAAGCACTTTCATGTCATTTTGTTCTTCAGAGCAACGTCTCAACATGACACTCAAGATGCTGCTCTGGCTGCTGCAGCACAGCCTACTTAGAAAGTAGAGACAGAATAAGATACAAGGCTTGTATATATTATCAGCCCGTGTCAGGTTATCAGAGACTTTGCTTTCACTCTGGACAAGATCACACACATCAAAGCCCCCTCCTCATGTCTGCAGAGCACCAAGTGTGCCACCTAGTGTTGAACAGGGGATCTTCTGAGCAAAGATAAAGAGGTCGTTATGGGTTTGGATAGAGCTTTTAGTTTTTCAGAAATATTAAACACCAGTAGGAATCCAAGTATTTTACTGCAGACTGCTTGAATCACATATATTTTCTCTGCATGCAAGCTTCTAAAATGTGCAATAAAACCACACAGTTAGCGTGTCACATAAACATTTCAGATATGATAAGAAATGCCAGCTGGCTTAGCTGCTTTCACATGTTGTGATGCTGCTGTAAGGACACTCAGTCCACGTACTTCAGTTCACTGACCATAAGGAGTACGGCAGTGCCAGTGGAAACATTTGTAGAAGGTGGAGGGAGATATCTGAAGTCTAAATAACGACCCTGAGCCTTGTCATAAACTGGGGGTTGGAGTTAAACAATCTGGGGATCTACCAGGCGTGCTCAGTCTAAGGAAATATGATATTGAATTGAATTATTGGAAATGCAATTTACAGCATTTTTGAAGCTACGGACAAAAAGTCAGGTTTACTCTAGGAGGTCATTATTTTGTAGATATGTGTAAGGAAACACAATGGCAGTCAAATTCTGTTTAAAATCAACAAACAATGTGGGAAATATTACCATGTAAGTTTGTAGTTTGCCCAAATAAAGCATTACAATGGAAAATCACTACGGTTTCATTTGTCGAATGAAAAACCAAGCTCTTAACACCAACTGTCCATTTAGGGTTTAAGTCAAGAAAGATCAAAATATAAAAATGCCTGGACATTAGTTTTCTTTTTATGTGGCAGTGTCCTTTTAAAAATATCTAAATGAAACCAATTATTAAAAAAGGATTAGAAGTAGTTGTCCACCCTGCCTTAACATAAACCTTAGATACCGGTTAAGTTGTTCAGTAAGAAATTGAGTAAGTGTGACATGTGATCTTAAATACACCTGTATCACCAACACTCACAGCATTACAAATACATCTGTGACAGTTACTGAAAACTACCGTTCAGTGGGGGGCTTCAAGGCCATATCCAAGGCACTGAACATCGCTCGCATTACAGTAAGGTCATTAACAAATATGGAGAGAACATGGCACAGCTGTAAATACTGTATGACCTGAGAAGAATGAGTCATGATGAGGGTGCTACAAGATACCTGAACACTGAAGAGCGTTGCCAGTTAAACAGTGGCGACAAGAGACGGAAAATACTGCTGAGATTCACCAGTTTCAGCTTCATGGTTGTTAGTGTTCGCCAGAGGGCAGGAGGAAGAGTGAAACAAACAAGTGATATTTTGCATGGTGTATTCAAAACAGTGCCCCATCACCAGAAGGCCTGAGATTGTAGATAAACTGAAAAGAAATGTGAGAAGGAGTGCAAGTTGGGAGAAGATTCATATTTTTCAGAACGACACTAACCCCAAACACACAAAGCTATACAGGAACGGCTTCAAAAGGACATGGCGGGGTAGGACCGAGTCCAGAATTCGTGGCAGGTCTTCACTCGCAGGGAAACTTGATAAAGGAGATATCTGATGAAGAATTGAGAAAAGGGCCGTTGCCAGTCTCACAGCTATTCACACTAACTCAGGATTTTAACCGTTGCCAGAAAGAAAAAAAGCTACAGGTCGGCTTTAGTGTGCTCTGT